CCCTAAAGTGATGATCTCGAAATCAAAAGTTTTTTTTGGCTTTGTTGGAATGTGAGAGAATAAGTGAAAAATCGGCACGCGTGCCCTGCATTTTTTAGTTTGTCGTTTACTCTTTTTAGAAAACTTTTAATTGTGTTAGAAAGTCGAAACCTCCAAAAAAAAACTACTTTCAATTTGTCTTCTTCTTTAACAAAAACTTATTTCATAATTTAAAATCTAGTATTAGTTGTACTTGTAACATATCTCATTTTATGCTTTAGTACGTCATCCTTAATCATGTAAGAGAAAGGATTCGAACGTGCAAATGATAAGATACGACCTAAATATTTAATATATGTGATTAAATTGACAGTTATTCGATTTAATAAAGAAAGAAAGGAAAATAGTTGAAATTACCTCAGAGATTTGAGAAGAAACAGAACCAGCAGCTCCCAATCTACTCATGCTTAGTACCTACATACATGTAATCAATAAAAATGGTTACCAAGTTCACCATTTAATTATCCATTATTTAACTTAACTATACATAAATGAGGTGATTACAAGTAACAACTACCCAAAAGATAAATAATTACCAAAAAAAGGTAGAGGGAGCATAAGGAATTTTAGTTGCAGAGGCCCATATTCGATTACATATTCTAATGTCAACTCAACTCAATGGTAAAGAAGCTTCCATTATTATAACAAAATTAAGATGCTTATATTAAAAAAAAAAAATTATTAGGGAGAGAGATTCACCTTGACTTGAAGCTGTAAGAACTTGACATAATCGATAATCTCATCGAGCATTGATGCTTTGTCTGTCTGTTAAATTATTTTTTATTAGTAGTAAATTAACAAAACCTTGTTAGCGATCCTACATCTGTTCTTACTATATTTATTAGTATTACAGTAATAATTAAATAGCTAATCAGTGTTTAATCATTTGATTGTACAAAAGTCCAAAGCTCTATGTAACCTACTAGTACAATTTGTGGTCCAAATTATGAACTCCAAGACCAAAACACATCACGGTTTGATTCATTTGATTAACACATTATTAAATTTGACATATATTAAAAAAATGGAACTGGATGATCGAAAATCAATTAATATACGATTTTTAACTGAAAAAAATAAAAAAGAGAATTAATTTTTACCTTATTGCCATTAGGGACAAGTTCCTGAAGAGATTTCATTCTTTCCGCTATTCTCTCTCTCCGTAACTGTTCCATAAATTTTCAAAAATCACCCCAAAAGTATTTTTAAAGACTTTTTCAACCCACGATTTTCTATGTAACTGAAACCGAATAACGAGGAGAAAAAAATCAAACCCGTTCGGCGATACTGTGAGGATCAGTAGCTTGACCTCTCCTAGCTCGGACTTTAGGCTTACTCTGCGGCGGAGCCGCCGTACCACCGGTGGTTGTTGACGCCGTCGCCGTCGTCTGTGACTGCGTTTGTCCTTGATTCATCAGTCCTCCTCCTCCCGATCCCTAATTTCGCATCAGAAATTACATTTAATAACTGTTTCCGAAAAAAAAAAAAAATCAAACAGAGGAAATTCTGATTTCTGATTTTGATGCCTGAGGGAGGTGAAAAGGGAGAGATCCGGCGGAGAAGCCATTAAAGAGAGCTTCGTTTG